ATATCTTCAGAAATATAAAACCCTTCTAAAATATATTCCTGGGTGCGCCCCTGACCCCAGGCGACCACCCTAATATCATTAAATAAAAGCCCAGCAAGAATCAAACTTTTGCTTTGTCGATTCGAAAGCATATTCGAAATTTCTTTTTTGGCCGTTATATCTTCGGCATTTACATTCGGTTTTTAAAGTTTGATACATATATCGATGTTCTGTTCATTGGCCTCAAGTGGCCCGTTGTAGTTTATTGTCGGATGTAGGTGTCACGAAAAAAAGAAATGTAAAAAGGCGACACATTGGGCCGTATGCATAAAACTTAAGCGAATGATTTATTTTTTTTTTTTAATTTCAGACCTTTTACCCGATTTGTTCAAATAAATTTAAGTGAAAGGTATGAAATTTTAAGAAAAAGCAATTGCTTAGTTCTTATGCATTGGTTCGGCGAAATTTTTATTTTTATTTTTGAAATTGCTTTCCAAATAATCTTTCGGCTTTCGGGGGTGTATGGCAAACTTTTTTTATTTGCTTATAAGGTGGTACGATCTAATGTACATACGGTTGGCTGCCATTCATCAGCGTGTTGATGGCTCACTTACGAGCTTCCATGTGGACACGTTGCTGCCACTGCACTGCTGCTCAAATGAGCCACGGCAAATTACGTTGATTTAGCGTATCCAAATCGCGTTAGGTTATAGAAAATTCCCAGCGGATATTACTTATTGTTAGTAGCGCTGAAATTCGGCAATGCTCATTGAATGTTTAGCATTGATATTCTGCTGCTGATATACTCGTATGTATGAATGTATCAATTGCTATGAGACTTCTTCGGCGCTTTGTTCCCATGATGAGATTATGTTTTTACGCTTTTGTGCTTGGGAACTTTTTTTTGTCTCTATTCTAGACAACGCACACTTGACGCTTGACGCTTGAGTTTGAATAATTTTATAGCCTTTGTTCACAGCTCATTACTGCACTCGAATTGCAAATATGTTCTCCTTTCCTCCTATAAATGCACTTTTATGATAAATCTATTTAAATGGAAAGAAAGCGGGTGATTTATTTACCATGCGTATTTTGCAGATTGCGGTATTAAGATTGATACGACTGTTAACGTTTAAGGAGATATAAAAGATAGATCAATTTCTGCTTAATTTTTGTGAAGTAAAGCTATGGTTAAAGAGCTAAGATATTAGATTTGGTTAAATTGTAGATCTATTTTAATGCTCACAATTTATGAGAAAGCGCTGCGTTTTAGAGATAATTTTTTAAAGTAGTGATAAATAATTGATAATTTATTTTTATAATTTTTTTTTTAATGTCTGTGGCATTAACATATTCTATCGTAGTGTTTTGCCGGGAATACAATGGGGTATATTCGTTCTTGGTATACAGTTACAGTTGCACGGCTATACTCAATCCCGTCTCTTGCGTCCTCGTTCAATCTCTCTTGGCAAGGTGAGCCACCTATTTGCGAGATGTGGTAACCAATCGTAGTGGAGCCTTGGGTCACGACAGAAGGAGAGGAGCTTCGTTGGAGCCACTCCGACTTATTCGGTTTAAACGCTCACTGATGTCAGCAGCGTCTATTCACTAGTCGGTGCGGCTGCAAGAGAGCGTCTGTTTGGAGCAAGCCACTTGCTATAAAAATGCGTATTCGGTTAAGAAAAATGGGTTGTGTGCCGCGTAAAAAATTTAAACCAACGAGAAGAAACAAGATGCCTTGTGTAAATTGTGTGCATGCCCCGACGGAGGAGAAGGACGATGAGACTAAAAAGTTATTATCCGAGGGCGTAGATAAGATAAGATGGTTAAAGAAAGCATATTTGGTCCAAGAGTGAGAAAATTTAGCTTTCATGATTCGGAGGAGGCTGATTGACTTCGCCGTGGGCCGGAACACAGTAAAGAATAATACCAGGTACCCGCATCGAAACATCCAAAAAGCCACTTATCTGTCACCTGATCAATGAACGAAGGACCAAATTGATGACGTTGTGATAGACTAAGACACGCTTCGAGCGTTCAGGACAGGCGCTTCATTCGAGATCCAATATCAACTGGGATCACTACCTTCTTGCAGCTACCGTCCGCATGCCGCTTTGTGCAATGAAGAACATGCGTCAGGCAGGGCGACGATAGCTTGGAGTTGAGAAGCTGCTGTCAAAACGGAGAGCAGAGAAATTTCGCAATCGACTCTCAATCCTACTTAAACAAGAAACTCTTCATTGAGCGGATATAAACGAGCAGTGGGAACTCATCTGTCAGTATCTTGTTGTCGCTGCTTTGAAAGTGTACGTAATATACAAAGCCACCCTGCGGCCATCGGGTAAGCGAGCGACAGTTGAGGGATACCGAGAGAAGAGGAGGTAGGAGAGACGTTTATTCAAAAGGAAAGACGTGAGTGCGAAGAATTTCGTCTAGCGAATGCATTCCCGAATTAACGCGGAATAAGCCTCCTTAATATTGTTGATAAGTTTTTGTGTGAAAGACTCAAGTCCTTCACGAATCAACTGATAGGACCTTATCAGTGGCGTTTCAGACGTGATAAGTGCATCATTGAGCAGATTGTCACAGCACGTAAAGTCTCGGAAAAGAAACTAGATATTCAAATCGACACACACTAATCTTTTATCGACCTTAAAACCGCTTCTGCTGGCATGATTAGAAAGGCAGTTTTCATGCCAATTCACATTAAGTCAAATGATACATTTGGCTGTGCGAAAGTCCAATTTCGTAAAGGCTGTTTTACATTATTTTTTGTTGCCATTATGAAGGGAATACTCCAAAATAACAGAAACTTCACTTAGTTTTTGTAAAATAAAAACACCGTTATACAGCAATAAACCATAGTTACACTTTCAAAACGTTATTGATACGTTGTTTGCGCAACCGGTTTATTTTGTAAATTTCAAGTGCATTGTTTTTGTAAAGATCGAATAACTAACGGAAAATTTTAAATGGGGAACAAAACTATATCTTAGTGAGAACCCAAGGCGAATTTATATAAGGTGGTGTTATTCTTCTTCTTCTTATTTGGCGCTGTAACCGCCTAAGCGAATTTGGCCGAGTCCAAAACAGCACGCCAGTCATTTCTCTTCTGTGCTAACTGACGCCAATTGAAAATGCCAAGTGAAGCCAAGTCCTTCTCCACCTGGTCTTTCCAACGCAGAGGAGGCCTTCCTCTTCCTCTGTT